CTGCCCAGGGCCTGCAGCCAAATGATGCCTCGGACCTTCCTCAGCCTTTAAAACCCTCAGGCACAATGACAAAAAATGGTTTTGCTCTGGGCACAGGTGGGGAGCATGTAGACCTTTCCAGAAATAATGGACATAGCAGGATCTCAAAGGTGCAGTCCTCTGTCCCACTTCTAGGAACATCATGATCACACTTCGGGGAACAGAACCAAAAGAGCCCCCACACAACTGGAAAACAAGCACAAGCCCTATCTATCCTATGTTGTTCACAGCACAAAGAATTACAAACAGCCTGACTGTCCACCAGCAGTGGACAATGACTCCCTCCACATGAAAGGAAGCTATTAGCCCATTTCAAGTGACCAAGAAGCCCTAGCCTCACAGGCAAGGCTTCAGCAGACCCAGGTGCAGAGTTCGGCTACTCATGAGCTTCATAGCTTAGAAAGTTACTTCACAGCCCTGGGCCGTGGCCCCCAAGGCCAGCTCTGCCTCAGGCTCCTCCTTGGCATTCAGACTTGTCACTGTGCCCCTAGGACTTGTCACTGTGCCCGTGATGACAACCATTCAAGGGAACTTCAGAAATAGGAGCCACAGGATGCTTGCCCATCTGAGGGCCATTCTCAACTGAAGGACTCGGGGCAGGTGGCCTGCATTTCTCACCTGGCCTCCTAGTGTGGGCTTTGACCTGCAGTCCCCAGAGACTACAGGTGAGGTTCAGAACCTAGGTTGGGCTCTGCTCAGGCACAGAGAGACTCTGTAGCCTTGGAGCACCGCTGCACCACACAACCAAACTGATTCATGAAAGCAGGAGCAGATGCCTGCCGAAGTACTTCCTGTGGACTACCCCATGGGGGCTGGTTGTGTACATGCGGGCCTGGGTACCTTCATCATCACCACCACCATTAGCTCCACAATGCACAGACGGAAACAGGCCCCAGGAGGTTGAGCTCCTGCTCAGGCCCCAGGTCAGGCTGGAGGCTAGACCCACCTGACCACGGGCCTGACTGACAAAGCTACACTGAGGGAGCCAGGAGGGCTGTGCTCCTCTGTGGAAGTGGTAAAGCCACCAAGTGCCCACGCCCGGCTCTGGAGGCTGAGAAGGTGGCAAAGGTTTGGCTGCTTTTCCACAGCCTGACAGAGCCCCCGGGCACTCTCATCTCATTACCTGGCCTAGGGGTGGGCCTAGTAGGCGTAGGGTGGTGGCTGAGGGTGGGAAAGGTCTCAGTCATTGAGAGGAGACCTGTCTGAGTTGAGAGATGGTGGTGGTCCAGTACATGACACCCCTAATCCAGGCCACCTAAACCCCAAATTGTCAGAATGAGCTTTCTCAAGGCTCCAGGGTCTCTGTCGTTCTGAGAGCCTGCTAGGCCTGGCCCCTTCCTCTAGCCACCATTTCTTAACCCAGTGTGAGCTTGCAGTCTGGACTCCAGGTATGTAGATCCCCTTCCCTTCCTCCCCTTGGGCCTCTGCATACCCCTTCCCCCAGTACGGTCCTGACTTCCACTCACCTAGCTCACTCCTCCTCCTCCCTTGGCCCCACAAAGGCATCGGCTCCTGGGGAAACCTTCCTCAACTCTGGCCACATCTGGGAACTTCTGTGTATCACCTACTGAGACCTCTACAAACTGACAGTGAGGTAATCTGGGAAAGAGCCATCTCCCCCACTGTGCCTCCGAGCCTTGCTTCCCACTGCGTGCTGAGCCTGGCCTGAGGCTGTGCTCTGTGATGCTTGCTGGTTAAAGAGACACACGTAAGGGACATGTGTGTGGCCTACAGCCAACCTCAGGCAGTCAGATGTGGGCTCTAAGCCCATGTATCTGTGCCAGGGTCCCTGTGCTGGGGCACTTGCATTTGCCCTGCGGACCTTCCTGGTGAAGCTGGTGTGTGTGTGGGGGGTGTTCTGGGGGGAAGAAGCTGCCAAAAACACCTGAGGTTCGGGCCCGCAGTTCTGATACCACATTGAAGCCAGGCTTTTCTCCCTAGCTCTGCTAGGTCTTGTGGTGCAGCCCAGCGTGGAGATTTCCAACTGGTAACATGTGGTTGCTGACCTCTGAGGCCTCCGGGCACCGAATACTTGTGGCTCCTTGAACTTGAGGCTGCTCTCCACTTTGATAGGTCTCCCACTACCTCAGCAGCTATTATGTATAGTAGCTGCCCTCTTCCTATCGTGCCTTGCCCCGTCCCCTGTGTGATGTCATGCTAAGATGGTTGCTCCCACCAAAGAATAAACCCTTCTTCCCAGCATGCCCCTGTTCCCGCCTAGAAAATAACCTAATACTCACTCACCTTCTACCACCTAGTGACATCACTGGCTCCTCCATTCCCTTGTCACTACCTCACTCAACCCCACCTCAGCCCCTACAAACCCCACCCCAGTCTCTATAAAAGACTCTCCCTGCCCCGGCCATATTGCTTTTGTCTCTCCTTTGTTCAGAGGCAGCCTGGCAGATCTATTCCCCTAATAAAGGCTTGTTGTGGCCTGGTCTGGTCTTGGTCTTCAGCCTTTTACCTGACACACTTCCCTGCTGCTGTTTCAAGAGTCTGTCCTTGGGCCCACGGGACCATATGCTCTGTACTTCACCCCCACTCCTGCTGGCCTCTTCCATGGCAATTTCCACCAAAAGCAGAGTGCAAGGTGGGAAAAGCTGGAGTCCTAACGCCAGGGTGGAACCCGGGCCCCAGAGCACAGGGACAGCTCCTCAGGGCTGTCTGCCATTTTTTTCCCTTGCAGACCCATCTTTGGCTTTGGTGTGATCACTCCAGGTGTGGTTAGGAGGTGTGGTGCAGCAAAGATCAGTGTTGAGGGACTGAATTCCCTCAGGTGCCCTTCCAGAGTCCCAGACAGGGTCCAGGGATAAGAGGGTCTCAGGCTGGCCCCTGAGAACAGGGTCCTCTAGACGTAAACTCCCACACTCTGGGCTGTAGTGGGCTCACGTGGGTGAAAGTGGGGACAAAGGACACTCACTAGAGGCTGGTCAAGGAAAGTCAGTGCGATCAGAGCAGCTTACCGCTCCAGTCCTGGCTGGTGTGCAGTAATGCAGCAGCAGGACGAAGTGAGAGAAATGAACCGCTCTTCACTCTCCAAGGTGTTGAAGGCCCTCCTCGCACCAGCACAGCACAGGTGTCAGGGGCTACAATACTGGCAGCCTGTGGCCACAAGCTGTGAAATCACTGCCCGGCAGGTCCCATGCACAGAGCTGCTCTTCTGACCAGCGTCACTCTGTCACAGACGGTAGTGGAAGGAGAGCAAAGGTCCCAGAGGGAGGCACACAGCAGGCACTCAGTAAACACTTGCTGTATGGCTGGTGTATTAGCTACTTTTCTCTTGTAGCTGAGAATACCCAACACCAAAGTCAAAAGGGAAGGGGTTTATTTGGCTTATAGTTCGTAGAGATTTCAGTCCATAATGGGGCAACTCCAGACAGGGATGACAAACAGGCATGGCAGAGCAGAAACAACATGGCGCACACAACAGGCAGCAAAGGTAACGAGAGCAAATGACCTCCATGTCTCCCAGCCCCTTTTATCTTATCCAGGCTACTTAGGGTGGGCAGCACTCACACCCTTAATCCTAGCGCCCCTGAGCCTAGCATTGCATCATGAATCAATTCCAGCTTCATGAACTCTAGATCCAGCCCATGACTACATGAGGCTCTGGCTGGACATCTAGGCCCAAATACCAGCTGGTATATAAAAATGCACTCCCCAGGAGAGGAGGCAGTTTGGAAACTGAGGCACAAGACTGTGGTTTCTTTCAAAAGGCTGTGGCAAGTGCTGCTTAATCCACTCACTTCTGTCTACCCCATGGACACCAGCCTCAGACCAGGCTCCACCATCGTCCTCCCTGGGACCCTTCCCATGGATCCTAGCAGCGTGCCTGCTGCTGTTGTTTCTATTTTTTTGAGACAGAGTCGTGCATAGTCGTGCAGTTCAGGCTGGCCTTAAACTCACTATGTAGCCCAGGCTGGCCTTATGGTGATCCTGCCTCAGCCTCCCACTGCTGGGATTTACCACTGTGCCTGGAAGAATCCCTGCTGCTATTAGACCTTCCCCATACCACCCCTCAACCAGCTCTCCACAGATCCAGGGTGATCTCAGAATGGGGGGGCTGCTGGGAACCACTGGAAGTAGGAAAAGAGAGGCAAGGTTCTGCTTGAACCTCACCAATGTGTCTTCACACACAGCAGATAACTAAAACTGAAAGGCTTCTCCTGACAGTGGTGGCCAGGGGTCTGCATGGGAAAATGCCACACCATACACAACACAGCCTTACCAAGGAGCTGGAATCTCAGTCTGACCCCACTTCCCTCCCCATCACCACCGAGGCCACAGGAAATGCAGAGCACCAAGGACATGTGGCAGGAATACTGTTAACAGAATCCAGTAGGTAAACTACATACAGTTTCTCACAAATTCAAGTGAACAATAAATAAGAGACAGGGAGGAAACCTGCCAATGAGGAGAGAAGAGATGCCCCCTGCCTATCTTAACGGGATCCTGGGAATCTGAACACTGAGTGGATATTTGGGGATGTTAGAATCACTGTCAGATATGACAACAGTCCTATGGTTATATTGTTTAATGGCACTCTTTCAGAAATACATAAGAAAAAAATTGGCAGGAAAAAAATTCAATATTTGGGGTTTGGTTTAAAGTACTCTCAGGTATTAGGGACTCAGACAAAATAGGGTCATCCACAAGTGACACCACGGAAGCCATGTGGATGGAACTTGAAGCTCCCACCTCTGGTTAATTTGGTACGTTTCAAATTTTCCATAATAAAGAGGATTTTATGGTGGTTGTTTGTTTGGAATCCGAAATATCCCTAATAAAAGAGGGAGGGAAAGAAACGGGGGTGGGGGGGGGCAGAGGGCCAGGTCCAGGGCGAGGGATTTCAAACTACTCTGCAGTTGCTCCTGTGTTCTACAAAAGCTTGATTGCCAGCTTCCTCTTCCACAAGCACTTTTAACCAGTTTTCTAAATCTCAGTGAACATATACTCACCTCACTCCCAGAAGTGACAGGATACTGCACAGCCTGTGACCAGAGCCAGCCCATGCACGATCTGTGATTGTCTGTGAAAGATAATTACAGGAGTCAGAGTTCAGAAATTTTTTGAGCCATCTGGCACAGTGACCTTATGTCCCTTGAGTCTTATAAGATAGTAGGTTTCATTTTGTATAGCTTCATCTTCATTATGCAAATTCATTTTCATTGAAATTTCAATCGGCCCATCCGAGATTAAAATTTTACAGAAGAACATCTAGTCCTTGACACTAACAGTCTAAAAATGTTAGGAGCCATTAAGCCCCTGGAGATGCCAAACCGGTGAGCATAGGCAGATTGCCAGAGAGCCCAGGACACAGCTTCACAGGTGCTGTCTGCTGTGTGGACTTCAGTGCTTCCTACAAACAGAGCATGGGTAAGAGAGGAGGAGTCCTGCAAAGCCTGTCTGATTCCCAAAGCCACATGCCTGCACAATCATGCCAGCGCAAGCTGAGCTCCTCCCACAATGCAGCAAGACCCAGGATATGTGCCAAGTGGTGTGTGGGCCAGCTCCTTCTCAGTCTCAGTCAGCCAGACTACTTTCACACCTATGCCCAGGGATGTTTCCCTTTCACACTTCCGGATCAGTCTGACCCTTAGGTTTTAAGGTGAACTGCTAAAAAAACCCACAACTGACTGCTTTTTCATATCAACTGGAAATCACTCTATCACTGAAGTACTGAAATACATTGTGAGGTGGGGCTATGATTTCAGACATCAACCAGCTCCCATGGTTCCTGATTTCCAGAGTGTGCCCTGAAAATGGTATCACTGTTCTCACTGTGATAAGCAAAAAAATGAAAAACAACAACACCCCAACACACAAATGTAAACTTATAAAATAAACTCACACTAGCATGCAACATCGCTTGTATCTGTCTGACATATGCAGTTCTGTGTTCAAGTTCCACTACTTTAGGAAAGGAAGTGGCTGGTGGGCAAGATCCTTGGGCTGCAGTCACAACTCTGCAACCACTCAGCTCTTAGCCTCTCTAGACATCAGTTTCCTCATCTAAAAAACGGAAATAGCTGCCCTTGCCATAGTTGAGTTTTTGTTGTTTTTTTTTTGGTGAAGGCAAAGGGAAGTAGGAACTAATAACACTTCAATGAATTAAAAATGCAAAGCTAATAAAAAAGCACACAGTGACTGTCAAGTTCACAGCCTGGCCTGAGTTCCATCCTCCCTCTCCTACTTGCTTAGCTTATCTCATTTTCTTCTCTGTAAAGTGCAAAATTCGATGCTACAGTGATGACCAACAACAACAGACTGAGTCACATTCACTGACCAGAAAAACACATCGCTGACCCTGCAACATGTGCCCAACACGGTGCTAACTGCGCTACCCCAGAATAGCCAGTGATTTTCCCACAGCCGTATGAGACTTATCCCATCACCTCATTTACAGATGCAGCTTAGAGACAGACAGCCACACTGATGCCTGCTTCCTCTGTGTTCTGGACATTCTGTGAAGCCCCAATATGATAACAAATGAGAAAGCCAACACAAGTACCGAAGGACCAGGACAGGGACCAGAGTCCTGAACGGGACATACAGGTCATGACCTCACAGTTTCACCCTAGGAACTGGAAGGAGTGTCGTGAAGGCTGGGATGCCACCCTGGCACAGGCCAGAGCCTGTGTCCTTTCCTGGGCCAGTCCCTCCAACTGGAACAGAGAGAATGTGTGGAATCTGTGGCCATGCTGGGAACAGCAGGGTGCAAGTCCTGGGTATGGCTGCAGGGTCAAAGTAGGCATTAAAGTTGAGTTGGCCAAGTTCATGCAGCTAGAGAGCAATGCAGGAGCAGGTGGCTCAACCAACTGTTCCTTTCCAGCCCAGCCTGCTGCAGAAGCCCTGGGAGCAGCTGGTATTTGCCAGAAACAGCTGCCTCTTCACAGACAATGAATCTACTGTTGACCAGCCAGGGCCTTGATTAACATTTGCAAAAGGATGAAGTGGAAAATTCCACCTGTGTAAGTGGAGTTGGACCCAGACAAAAGTCAACAACCCTCACAGGATAGTCCTCTCAGGGATGAATCTGGGAGAGCAACAAATGTCTTAGGAACCAGAACAGGATCTGGGGACCATTACTTTCTGGTCCAAGAGTATTTTCCTATTTGTGTCACAGAGCTATTAGGATACTTTGTTTTCATTTTCCTGCCTCCCCTAACCCTAAATCTACATAGCAATTATAAGCCCTTCAGCTTGCTTTCCTGTCTCCTGTTTCTTCTGAGACTCCTAACAGCCCTGCTAGGGAGGCAGAGCTGATGTAAGCCTCATGTTATGGATGGATGGAGAAGCTGAGGCTTCAAGAGATCAAGAGCCCCAAGGAAGGCCAGCAGACGATGAGTCCTGGAGCCCAGAGTCTTACCCCAGGGTGACACAGAGCCTGCCCAGAGCCTGTCCAGAGCCCCACATAGAAAGCAGCCATCCAGGCTCCAGCCAGCCCCCTGCCCTTCACCCACCTGGGCCTGGAGGAAGAAGAGAGAGTTCAAACCAGCTCTCCTAGGTGGACAGGTTTTGGCCAGCCTCAGGAGAAGCCGTATGTTGAATTGTTCATTCATATGAACATTTTATGAGAGCCTACCTAAGCCCCCAACATGAACGCACACTGTGCTAGGTGGCTTTCGGAAGCCCAGATGTGCCAAATGGACAACTAGAGGGGGAATGCCAGAGAATTTTCAAAGGTCATTTGTTTGGATTCAATCACCTCATTGCCACTATTTTATGTCACTCACTGTGTTAGCTGCTTTTCTCTCATTGCTGAGACAAATACCAGACCCCCAGAGTTAGAGGGGAAGGGGTTTATTTCGCTTACAGTTCATAGAGGTTTCAGTTCATGATTGCCTGGCTCGGAGGCTGAGGTGGCAAACAAGCATCACAGAGGAGAAACAACATGGCACACACAACGTAGCAAAGGCAACAAGGGGGTTATCAGCATCTTTCTGCCCCTTTTATCTTATTCAGGCTACTTGGGGCAGGCAGCACTCACACCCTAATGCTAGTGACTTAGAGCCTAGCGTGCATCATGAATCAATTCCAGGTTCATGTACTCCAGATCAAGGCTATGACCACATGAGGCTTGGGGGGACCTCTAGACCCCAGCCATAACATTCCACCTGGCCCCCCACCGACTCACGCACATCCCGTTAGGCAGAAGCCATTTAGTCCGTCTCTAAGAGTTGCCAATGTCCTAACAGTTTCAGTGTTGCTGAAAGTCCCAAGTCCAAAGTCTCCTCTGAGGTTTAAGGCAAACTCTTAGCTGCAAGCCCCTGTACAAACAAAAACAAGTTAAACATTTCCAATACTCAATGGCACAAGATAAACATCACCATTCCAAAAAGTACAAACACAGGGATACAAAGAAAAGGGACCAAGGCAAGTCCAAAATCCAGCAGGCCAAACATCCAGCATCCCACAGTGCCACTTCCAGCATCCAAGGCAATCTGCGGCAAGTTGTGAACGCCAAAGGGCTTGGTGGCTCCGTCCCTACAGCACTTCTGGTGGTTGTAGCTCCCATAGCTTCTCTCTGGGGCCAGCTCTGCTCCTTCTTTGCAGTTTTTCTTAGGCAATCCACACTCCTGGCTTCTCCAAACTTCTGGGGTCTCCACTACACCTTCAGCTTCACACTCACAGCTTCACACATTGCCCTCTCAGGGGTACCCTGCCTGGCCTCCCAGGCCTTCTTCTGAAATCTTTTTGCATTCCGCAGGCACCTAAAACCAGCATCATGTGGGTGATGCCAGGGTCTGCTGCCACCTGGGCTGTAGCCAGGCTTCCTTCTCTCTTGGCTGGAGTGCCTGGGGTTGAGCGCCTGGATCGCCAAACACTCTGAACCCAATCCCAAGGAACAAATTCTCTAGGCTGCCACCATTTTGGTACATCTTCCCCAGTCCGCTGCCATTCTGGAACATGGTGCTCTGGGGCTTCCTTCTCAAAGCAAAGTCCTTCACTTTTGCAATTTTGAGGTTGCAGAAGGTGGAATCCTTTTTCTTGTGATTCTCTCAGGCCACCTTTTCTATTCTCCTGTTCCTTCTCAGCAGTCAAGATGTCCTCTGCTCCATCTCTGCAGTCCACAGCTTTACTGGAGCTTCCTTTCCGGCCAAACTCAGAACTTTTTTTTCAGAATTATATTTTATTTCACATTGATAGAAACCATGAAAAACATTTACATTGCCCCACATTACAGCACAACATTTCAATGGAGTATTTCTTGCTATAAATAAGATCTTACTGATTTGTATAACAGAAATAAGTCTACAGTTCTTCAAGGTAAAGCAGAATGACATAGTAAATGATTGCTTAAAAATTTTAAATCCAGATAAACATATGGCTTCATTATAAACATCCTAGTCCATTACCAGATTATTTCCATGATCAATTAGCACCATAAAGATGCATTCTTGTCGGGTATTTGGCTCAGTGGTGCCACCGCCTGCCTTGCAAGTGCAAGGTCCCAAACTCAGAACATTTTAAATCATTCTTCTGGGCCTTTTGCTCTGGATTCTCAACATAGATCTGGCTAAAAGCCCCCAACAGTAGCCATGATACAGCCTCAATATTCGACTGCTTGGAAATTTCTTCTGCAAGATTAATTAGTACACTGCCCCTAATCTCAGTCTCAGGCAAAGTCTCTGGACTCGAACCAAATGCAGACAAACTTTCTGCCAAGCCATAACACACCTGGAGTCCAGCAGCCAAGGCAGTCCCTCTTCCTAGCTGAAACTTCCAGAGCCCGGTCTTTACCAGCCTGCTGGTCTTCTGGGCTCTGACCAGAATTTCCATACAGAACAGTTGAAGGTGCTCTAGTGCTACTTCTGTGGTCAACACCGCCCAATCCTTCCTAACTCTTCCCCTTCCCACAAGCCACTTCCAAAGGTCTTTGAGCCACCTGGTCAGGTAGCATCACAGCAACGACCTCACTTCTCTGGTACCAAGTTTCTGTGTTAGTTACTTTTCTTTTGTTGCTGAGACAAATACCCGACACCCAAAGTTAGAGGGGAAGGGGTTTATTTCGCTTACAATTCGTAGAGGTTTCAGTCCATAATCAGCCGACTCCAAGACAAGGATGATAAACAGGCCTCACAGAGGAAAAACAACATGACACACACAACGTAGCAAAGGCAACAAGGGGGTTACCAGCATCTTTCTGCCCCTTTTATCTTATTCAGGCTACTTGGGGCAGGCAACACTCACCCCCTAATCCTAGTGCCCTTGAGCCTGACGTTGCATCATGAATCAATTCCAGGTTCACGTACTCTAGATCAAGACCTCATGAGGCTTTGGGGGACATCTCGGCCCAAACCATAACACTCACCTTATTGTATTTTATTTATTTATTTATTTTTTGGTACCCCGGATCAAACTCGGATCCTTGTGCTTTTGAGGCAGGCGGCAGAACCACTGAGCTAAAGCCCCAGCCCAACTTACCTTATTTTATAGAAAAGGAAACTGAGGGGCTGGGGATTTAGCTCAGTGGCACCATGCCTGCCTTGTAAGTGAAAGGTCCTGAGTTCCGTCCCTGGTACCGCAAAAAAAGAAGAGGAAAAAAAAAAAGCAAACTGAGGCTCTGAGCAGAGCAGTGGCGTGCCGGCAGTCCACAAGAGCCACCAAGCCCTGCACGGCGGAGTGGCCCTGACTCCAGCCTATCCAGTCGCACCTTGTCGAGCCAAGGCGTCCCCTCAGCACACTGTGTCCCTTCAGCTTCAGACCCGCAGGGTGCACATTCAGGCAACAAGGGCATCTCCCGGAGGGATCCTGTGGCCGGAGTGAGCCAGGCAGGGGGCGCTCTCTGCCCATCTGGAGCTCCAGCTGTGGCTGCAGGGCCCTCATCCTTCCATCGCCCACTTCCCGGCCCTGTCTCCAGAGCGCGGTGGCACCACCCCTCCCACTCCCCAAGGGCCTTGGGCACTGTCATCTCTACGCGTCCGTCATCTCCCACCCAGACTGTGTCTGCAGCCTTCTCTCTCACCCATCAGCCTCTTCCCTTGGAGAAGGAACCTCAGCTGCCCCTTTATTGAAACAACCCCCACCCACCTCACTCGAATTTCTGAGCCCACTTCCTCCTGTCCCATCTGCTCTTGCCAAGGCCAAGCCAAGCCATCTCTGGCCTCTGTGCCCCGGAGACCCCAAGAGCTCTTGTCTTCTGCCTGGTGTTCCTGCTGGGGGCCCTCCCTGTCCCTGTCCCTAGGATGTCTCCTCTCCTCTCCATCACACCAGCCACAGCTGACCCACAGATCTGTTTCCGGGCCTGACCCTGCAGCCCTATTGTCCCAAAGGCCCTGCACTTGGGCCCCAGCTCACCACACCAGGGCCTGCTCTGGCACAGGCTGTGAGGCCAGCATGGCTCGGACACACAGTCAGGGACTTGCTAAGTGAATAACTGCTAGGGAATAGCTGCCGCTTCACTGCTCTCAGAGGGGCCGGCCCCCACCTCCCAGCAGAGACAGCCAGGCGGCTTTTCACAAACTGAAGACTGACTACCACTGAAACATCTGCCACGGTTCCTCGGCACCAGGGGACAAAGTTCACAATCTCCAGCTGGCAGATGAGGCAGTTTGCACTTCTGCAGCAGGCCAGGCACTGGGCCCCTGAACACCTCTCATCCTCAGTCGAGTATCCATGTGCTCTTCTGCACTCTGGTTCCTGGCACATGCCAGGTGTTTGCTGAAGAAGAAGACCACTCTTAGAGCTAGAAATGAACTCCACACCACAGGACTCAAGGCACTTCAAAGAGACTGAGGGACCCAGGGTGGCTGGGCACCAGGCAAGGGTGAGGACACAACCTCACCTGAGTAACCCTCCTTGGTCAGGGGCAGATCAAGCTTCTAGAAACCAACCCTGTGTGGATGTGTGCCAGAGCCCCAGCTGACCTCGAGGCCGGGAACAGGCCCCACTGCATACAGGCCAGAGGCCAGGCTGGTGAAGAGACCCAGCCTGCTGGGTGGGCCAGGCCTGGCTCGAGGTACAGCCTCTGCAGACAGAGCTGCTTGACTCAGTGTAGCCCCCATGGCTGACACAGCCACATGGTCCACACCTCGCTCCTGATGTCTTCTCATGTGTCCAGTGGGGCGATTTCAGCCTAGGAGCCTGAAGTCCTGAATAGATCCAACCCTGCCCTTGCCTAGGAGGAATCTGAAGCAGCAAGGCACCAGTTTTCTGTGACTCCACTGTTAGCCCAACTGCTTGTCAACCTTCCCACAGTCCATTGTATCTCAAAGGATGGTCCCTGGGCCAAGCACCCCCAAATAAAATGGGGGTGTTAAATGCAGATCCCAGAGCCAGCCCAGCCCTGAAGTCTTAATATTACAGACATCCAAGTCAGACAGAAATTAATATAGTCATAGAAGGATCAGGGCCTCAAGGAAGTCAGGATAAAAAATACAGATAGCAGAATTGTGGCTGAGGCAAATGCGAAGAGAGCCTGCCCTCAGGATGCAGAAGCGGTAACCAGGCCTGTGAGCCTCGCTAGGGATAAACAACAGCTTGAGATTATACCAGATTAGCATCACCTGGTCCAGTGGGCGCAGCTAGGCACCAGCCGCATGGGCAGGTAACTAGAACATCCAGGCCCATTTGCCTCTCTCTTCCCAAAAACCATGTACTCTTGCTGTGTGACTCTTTTCCCTATCGGATCAGCGTTAGGTAAGCCACTGTACTTGTAACCCTACAGATAGCAGTCTGACTACCAGTGAAACATCTGCCACGGTTCCTCAGCACAAAGTGCTATCCTTGCACCCACGTTGGGATTTTGCTGTATAAATTACCCCTGACAGAGGGGCTCGGCAGCCACCCACTTGGGGCCCCGCCTGGAAATCCAAGAGCTATTCTCCCCTTTATTTCAAATACAATTCTCCTAACTTCCTTGGTTCCTGACTTCATTCCTCCATGTTGAGAGACGACAAACTCGGCACATCTGACATCCAACAGGTTAGCAGTTATAGTTTACCTTTATCACTAATCTCATTTAGGTAGTAGCGCTGAGACACTGAGCACAGCGAAATTTGGGGACGGCAGTAATGAGATTTCAGATTTTGGAGCCCCAAGTGTCACAGGCAGACCTCATTTTTTGGACTTGCAGTTTACCAGAAACCCCGAGGGGCCGGTAGCGGCGAATCCTATCACTGTTTTTACATAACTCAGTTCCTGCTGAAAAGGAACGCCACCAAAGTCAGGGAGGCTTCCGTGACTGCGTCCACCTTTCCTTTCCTTTCTGGGGCTCAGCCCAAAAGGCCCCGGGGTGCCCCGACACAGCAAGGCCCTGGCCAGCGTGGGGCTGTGCGAGGGCTTGGCGGGGTGCGGGCGTTCCTGCTACTCACCCTCTGCAGCTTGGCCCTGGGGCCAGGACCCGGACCGGCCGCCCCTGCCAAGTAGGAGCGCACGGTGCCCCAGCCCCCGGCAGGACTGAGCCTTAACCGGCCGCGGGCCGCGCGCTCTCCAGTCCGGAAGGGTCCCTCGGGCCGCTGGGTTGGGTCGGCTCCGGCCCGGGTCTCAGCGCCAGGAGGGCCGGTGGGGCTGGGGCGGGGCGCGCGCCCCCGGAACTCCGCACCCTCGAGTGCACGGGGCTGGCGCTCTGCTAGCGGAGGGCGCATATGGCTGGAGCCAGACCCAGGCCCAAGCCCCGGCAAGTGCAACTGTGGGCGCGGCGAAGTCAGCTGCCCGAGGGAGGGGCCAGCGGTCTGGCCCGTCCGTGCTGCGGCTCGGGCGTGCTGGGGGGCGGAGTCCCGAGGGGCTGCCCCGGATAAAAGCTCGGCAGGCAGGCGGCCAGCCTGAGCCCCGCGCTGGTGGGCGGTGGCTCCGCAATGTCACTCGTGCTGCTGAGCCTGGCCGCGCTGTGCAGGACCGTCTTGCCTGGAGAGCCGGTAAGCCCTCGCCCGCACCCCTGTCCCCAGGTGCGTCCCTCGAGCCCCGACCCGGGCTGCATCCCATCTGCCAGCCCACGCCTCTGCGAGGGGACCTGTCAGCACCCCGGGGTCGAGCGATGAGCTTCAAATCTCCATGGGACCGTCGTCCCCGCCTGGCCGGGTCGGGCTGCTTGGTCTGGGGGCGTGGGAATCAGACAGACTTGGTTGTGAAGGTACCCTGCCTGGGCTCTGTTTCTCTACTTTTGCGGGTTGGAGATGGAACCCAGGGTCTCGCCCTTGATAGGCACTGAGTTACATCCGCAGCTCTTGATTCAGCCATTTATGCTCACCCAGCCTCCGCGTCTCATCGGTAATAAGGGCAGCACCTAGCTCACCCAGGTCTCCTGACAACCGCACGGCCTGCGAAGAGCCTCCCCTAGCGAGATGAGTAGTGCTCATTACTGCTCGCCCTCTGCCCACCTGTTGGGGTACACGGACTCTTGCTCCGTTACCATTTGCCTGCTTTTGTTTTGCTTTCCTCCATGTTGATTCGTGAAGGTAGATTTCCTTTCTTCCTCAGGGCTTTGAGTGATTAAAGGAATCTTCTGGATCACTAAAGAGGAAAAAGCTCACCCCCAAAGCAGGCCTGAAAACCAGTCCCTGCCTTATCATAACATAAGACATAAAAGCATGGTGGTTACTTATCGATGGTTATGGAGAGTCAAGCCCCACCCAGCCTGTCCTGATGCCTTCAGCGACCGTCCCTCTTTTCTGAAGACCCCTTGGTTTTTCCACTGGAGGAAGAATTAATTAGTTGTCTTTGTGGTAGTCGCTGTAAGGCCAGAAGTTTAAACTCTGTCCAAATTTAGAGCTGTTGCTTCTTTCTCAAACTTGTCTCACCCTCTTTCTCAAGAAATCAGCTCCCAAGAGGGCAGCTTGTTTAAAAACAATGTCTGATGATATCCCTTCCAAGCTTACTTTCCAAAGACAAACGGGTAACTAACGGATGACTTCACCGCACCCCACCTTACTCAAATCATTAAAAGTCTCACCTTCTCTCTCACAAGGTGTTTGGAAATGTGGTGGCTTGGCAAGATAAGATTCCAGAGCTGGTGGATTTATTACATGGAGTCCTGCCTGCTGCCTGAAAGTTAAAGAGTTTACGTTCAGTGTCTGATTTCAAAATCAAAGTACTAAAATTTTTTTCTTATGAGAAGACCTGAGCAAGTAACTTCAAAGAATTTAGTATTAGTCTTTCTTAGGCATGGATGAAATGTGAAAGAACCTGGAGGAGGTGCTGTGGACGACGTTCATTGCTTTCCTCTATTGCTCTTCTCTTACATAGCCAATCCTTAGCCTGGAGAAACTCAGTAAATGCTGCAGACTTTCTGAAAACTGGCAGCTAAACATTGAAGTGTGAAGGGACCTCCTGAGAGTCCAATTCACCTCTGGCTTATAGCAGGGAAGGCTGCCCAGAAAGCCCTGGTCTTCAAGTGAGGGGATCAGCTGGCTGGAGATCAGGCATATTGATGGCTAATCTGTGGTCCACTGTGGCCTACAGGGGGCCATAGTTTTCCCTAAACTGTGAAACAGAACCAACTCATTTTTTCTTTGAAAGTTTGTCATTTGTGTGTGTACCTAAGGGAAAAAATGGTGTTTTATCTAATTTGATCAATTAGATAAAAGACTGTGGCTTCCTAGCTTCAACATGACATTTGGTTTCTTTCTTTCCTGCAGACTGTTCAGTGTGGCTCTGAAACCGGTAGGTGCCTTAGGGAGCAAATATCTGGGGCATTACATGGAAAGCACAGTTGGACTAAGAGGCCTGAGTCCAGTACTAGGTCATCAGACCAGGCACAAGGAGAACCACTGCTTTCACTGATGTGGTCGATGTTCTCAAGACAGAACTCTGGGGAAACAGGGATGGGTCTGAAATGGCATCTTGGCCAGTCCAGGGAGCACAGGCAGGGTGGGACTCACCATGAGGGGGGAAATCAGTGTCTGTCACTGCAGAGGGAGACGGAGAGCTGTGGGAAGGAGTCACGTACACTTGGGTCGAGGAAGCCGATGCTTTAAAGAATAGGTGCTTGAGATGGTAGCATTCAAAGAAAGGGTGGGTTTCTGCCTAGGAAATGTGAATACGGAGGGAGAGCTGGAGGAGAAACAGGCATCCACAAAGGCTAAGAGGTGGGAAAGGGGGCTATTATGGGCCAGCAGACTGGAGGGAAAGCAGGCTGACCCCCAAAACAGGAGAAATACACCAAACACACACACCCCTAGAGTGCATGTGTACCCCTAGAGTGATCCCAAATGCTCCATAGTTTGGGGGCCAAGGCTGAGAACATTTAGTTGAGCACCACCTCAGCTACAAATGAAACAACACCCTGAAATGTAGTCGACCCCGTCCTCGGGTCCCTGTTCGGGTTGCCAACGGCAGGGGACTCTGGGTCCTGAGCCCCCACTGGGGTGCTACCTGTAAGCCTACTCACCTGGCTGGCCTTACTCCAGGACTTAGACCCACTATTTGCTCCTCCCTGACCAGTGGGCTAACGGGGATGAATGACAAAGAGACGTGTAGTCAGCTTAACAGGCGGACAGGCAGAGGAGCCTCCAGCATTCGGCTCACCTCGCTTTTATTCACCCAGACACAGGCACAAGCGATCAAAGTAACACAACTTAACCTCAGCTATCTTAACTTTTCCCTAACATGCAGTCACCTTTGAGTGCAGCCTTTCTGCTTTGTGCTCCCAGAGGGGGCCAATTAGGTCTCAATTCTCTGGTCCTCTACACTGAAACGTTTGGCCTGCTATAGCAGGAAGATGTCATCTGTGGTGATTTGGGGATGGGGCAGTGTGGATCACTTGGAGGGATGGCCCCAGACTGGCCTGCAAGGGGAGTGTCATGGGAACTCTTGCCTTTTCCCAGGGCCATCTCCAGAATGGCTGGTCCAGCATCCTCTGACCCCAGGAGACTTAAGGGAACTCCGAGTGGAACTTGTTAAAACCAGGGCTGCAACAGAGGACTATTCAGTTCTGATGAACATAAGCTGGGTACTCCGGGCAGATGGTAAGTTTGCATCAATCAAAGGCCTCAAGTGTCTACTGAACCAGAAGTGCTATATGGCCCAGTAACTGTACCCTAGGCATGCCCAACCAAAATCTATACATGCGTGCACTGAAAGCCACACACTAGGACATTCACAGCAGCACTATTCATAACAGCCAAAATCACCCAAATGCCCAACAGCAGAATCACAAAATTGAATCCAATACAGCAAGAGGAATGAGCAATCTGTAACCACACACAATATAGATATCAAACATAAGAAGCCAGATTCTGGAGTTCAAAGATGTGTGTCCAAATGCCTTCCTACACTGGCACATGCCATGTGATTCCTTTACAGAAACGGCAAAATTAATCTGGTGTTGGAAGTTGGGCTGATTACTCCAGGGGTGGGAGTGACTGAGGGGTACTCCTGGGGTTTCTTGACTTGTACTGGTTGATGAATGTGCAAACACATTAAGCAGTACACTGCTGGTCTGTGTACATTCTTGTATGTGATATATTTCATGGAAAAAGATAAGGTAAGGCCAGAGTTGATTCCCTCAATTTAGGAAAAGCACTGCTTTAGGAAAGTTGCTACTTCCAGATAATATGAAAGCCCTGGGATTTCCCCCAGATTATTCTGCAAGGCAATTTGTGGGTTGTTATGATGAGCTAATCCTGGGATCCTGATGCCCATGTTTGTGGTTTCCATCTGCAAAATTCAGTTAAATTTGACCCAGTCAAGAATCCTCGAGTGCCAGGCACAGAGGTGAGTTGGCTAGTCCATCAGTAGGGTCTTCAGAGGGTTGGAGAGACAGATGCAGGCGGCATTAAGGGAAGCCCTGAAGGGAACTGTGCTCCACGTGCGAGGCTGGGGCAGAGAGGACCAGGAGAGGAGCCCTCCTGAGACTCCCGTGAGATGATGCGATAAAGCGCTGGTCCCATCCCTGGCAGAGGGAGCTCTGTTGGTTGTTAGAAGGTGTGGGTTAAAGGAGTAAGATTTGGGAGAGGCCGGAACTGGAAGGAAAGGATTTTCCAGGAAGAAGAACTGTCATGGATGAAGAAGCAGTCAGCACAGCCACGGTTTGGTGATGACTCTTTTGGCGGGTCCTTGTGGCATTCCCAAAGTAGGCCTGTTACTCTCGACACCCATGTTACTGCAGGTGTGGCACAAATCACAGGCATTCTGAGAAATTCAGCCTGACCCGTGAGGAAGATCTTAGGCTTGGGAATTTGAATCCTCATCTGCTGCAGTTGGGCTTTGTAAGGATGGACAGAGCTCCTTGAAACTCCCTAACCTCACTCACTTCATCTGCACACTGGGGATGACAGTGCCTCCTGTTCAGTGCCGTTGTGAATGTGAACTGAGATGAAGCATGTAAAGTACATCTGATCAGCCGCAGAACAGGGGCTAAGTAAACAGCTGCCCTCTTACTGTCTCTGCAGCCAGCATCCGCTTGTTGAAGGCCACCAAGATCTGTGTGACAGGCAAAAGCAACTTTCAGTGGTACAGCTGTGTGAGGTGCAACTACACAGAGGCCTTCCAGTGGCAGACCAGACCCTCGGGTGGGAAAGTAAGTACTATGAGGCACGTGGCAGTCACCGAAGACCGGGTCTTCTGGGGAGCATGAAGCATGTGCTGCACAAACAGGCTGGTGAGCGGCTGCGATGCAGAGCAGAGTGCCTAGTTCACATTCCAGTTCCGGTTACTTCTGTGACCTATGCTTCGCCAGGCATCAGTGTTCCCATCAGGAAAGTAAGGGAAGTGGAACTTAATTTTATATCCTAGCTCTAAAATTCTTCTCTGATTCTGCGAGTTACCCCAGCAAATTATGAGGAGCCCATTCCCCAAGTAGACAATGGCTTGAGAACTAAGGTTCAGCAGTAGGACAAGGAATGAAATTTCAGATGAAAAGGGCAGCACCCAGCAGGGCTGTTGCCACACTGTGCAGTGTGTTGGGAACTCGGGTGCCTCACTTTGCCTTTCAGTGGACGTTCTCCTACGTGGGCTTTCCTGTGGCACTGAGCACACTCTATTTCATCGGGGCCCACAATATCCCCAATGCAAACATGAATGAGGACAGCCCTTCTTTGTCTGTGAACTTCACCTCACCAGGTAAACCACCTCTGCTCTTTGGTTATTCTCTGTCTTGCTAGGACACCTGTTTGGGGGTCTGTGCTTTGACTCGCAAGTCAGGAAACCCTAGACAAGGCTTTGACCTTGCAAGGTCTCAGTTTCCTCATCTGTAATATGGACACAGCAGCAACAGTGCCTTCCAGAGCAGAGAGGGTTAAATCAAGGAGAATGTAGGCAAAGCACATTCCAGTGTGTCAGGCACTGTGCTGAGCACTTGACACTCATTGTCCCTCACCAGCCTGAGGGTAAGATAGCCCCATCTTACAGGTGAAGAAACTGAAAGGTTAAGTCACCTGCCCTGGGTTGTACACAAAGGAGAAGGAAAGCTGACATTCAAACTCTGTGTGTGTGTGTGTGTGTGTGTGTGTGTGTTTGTGTGTGTGCATGTGTGCACACGCATATGGTTTCTTTGGTGCTGGGGACTGAACCCAGAGCCTCACACATGCAAGGCAAGTGCTCTACCCCTATACCACATCTCCAGTACCTCTCTGGTCCTTCTTGATCAATGCACTTGGGAAATCCAGGGGGTTTTTGGTGCTACACCATTTACACAGTAATTGCTAGCTTTCTGGATGAGACTAAACCTCATTTTTCCTTTTTTGTGGTGCTGAGGATTGAACACATGGCCTTATGCATGCTACACAAGCATTCTACCACTGAGCTGCACCCCCAGCCCCAGCCCTCTCATTTTGTTTTTAAATAGGCTTTTTCAGGTTTTTTGGTAATCACTTTAGATTTACAGAAAGACTGCAAAGATACTATAAAGAGTTTTCACCTCATACCAATTTCTCTCATTGTTACTGATCATACAGTATCAAGTGTACATTTGTCAAAACTAGGAAATCAACATTTGCTCACTGCTACTAACTCCAGATTTTATTTGTATTTTACTTTTTTATTAATATCTTCTTTTTTGTCTAGTTACATTTAGTCCCTTGTCTCCTTAATCTTATCTGGTAACAGTTTCTTCTTCTTTATTTTTCATGACCTTGATAGTCTTAAGTTCAACCAGGCATCCTGTGGAATGACCCCAATTTGGGTTTGTCTGGTGTTTATCTCATTATTAGACCAGGGCTATGGGTTTGGGGGAAGGATCCTGCAGGGATGTTGTGCCTTTCTCATTGCATCCTATCAGACGGGTAAGGTCACCGGTGAGGGTGCCTTCATCCCTTGGTTAGCATGCTGCCTGCTGGGCTTCCGGGTAGGTTAAGCCTCATGTCCGTAAGGGGTAGAATCTATATATTATCAAACTTCACTTTTAAAGGATAATGGGCTTTTGGGTGTTCTCTTGGTAATCACTGATTCTGTTTTATAAAGGTAGTACTTAGACTCTGGTTACCATTCCACAGCAGATGATTTTGTTTAACAGTAAAATTTTACTATAAATGGTACCCTATTTAGATTTCTATCCCCCATCTGGACTGTTTTGGCAATTTGTTAATTGGGTGGGATGTGTGTGTTTATGCATGCTTTTGTCCTTGTTGACAAGGGAGTAGAAGAGAGATAACCCTTGTCAAAAGTGTAAAAGCTTTCACTCAAACTTCCAGGCTGCCTAGACCACATAATGAAATACAAGAAAAAGTGCCTCGAGGCAGGTAAGTAAATATAGCACTTTGCCTTTGTTGTTTAAAGATGCCAGTTTTATCCATCTTTTCTTTTCTTTTTTTTTTTTTTGTACTGGGACCCTTCCCACTAAGCTACATTTCCAGCCCATTTTATTTTTTAATTTGAGACAGGGTCTTGCTCAGTTCCCAGGCTGGGCTCAAACTTGCTATCCCCCTGCTTCAGCCTCTCAGAGTGCTGGGATTGCAGGCATGCACCGCCATACCCAGCTCTATCCATCCTTTGATAGATGAGGAGACTGAGGCTTCAAGTGAGGAATTGTGCATCCAAGGTGCCCAGTACCCAGGCAGAAGCACCAGGGCTCCCAGTCCCTGGCTGTCACTTTGCTCACTGTGGCAAGTGGCCCTGTCCAGTGAAGGACAGACTAGCAAGTTTATGTAGCGGGGCTACATGAGACCACCCCTAACCCCCTGGTTAAACTATTTAACATTTCAGCTCAAACTACACTCATAGTTGTGCCAATCAAAGGCCTTTCCTGATTGTATGGAAGTTCTCTGAGCCTTTCACCTGCTTACTGGTACCTCTGGCCTGTGGTTATGGGAATCTTCTCTTTTGATTAGCAAGCGTTCAGGGTGGGAGTTAGTCTAAGTAATGACCTAGAAGCATGTTCTCAACCTGTGCCCTTAAAGAGGGTCACCTCTCCCATGCGAGATGGTTAGAATCCTAACCCTGCCCTTTGACTTGTGAAATTGCCCATTTAAGATAATTATCCCAGTGCCCAATTTCCAAAGGGTTTTATGTACATTTCTGGGCAATATAGTCTTGGGGTGCTAATAAGGCTAGTTGTATTTGGGGGATTGGTCCTGATCTTTTAGGGACTCTTTACCCTACATACCCTGTTGCAGAGCTACATATGCTGTTCTTATTAGAGACAGACATGGAGTACAGGGCTTCCTCTCCCGAGAGAGGGAGCTGTAGGAGGATGGAAGCACTGGGGTATGAGGTTTGAAGGCCTAGAAATCCTTCCTAGGATGTACTTATGAAGATACTTCCGAGGCAGGGCCTGTATTGGTCTCCTCTGTGGGGAAGATACTTTATGCTATTATATATCATGTTCCTGGAAATTAAGCTAGTCCTTATTTGCAAGTCACATCAATGAAACAAAGGGCTTTCTTCTAACAGAATTGACCTATCAGAGTATCCTCTGAACTGTGAGGCATTTCCTTCCTTCTTTGCATTCGTAAAGCTGGCAGAATGCTGTCATGGATGAAGCTCCTAGAATCCAAAATGTTCTAATGGTTGTAGTCTTGATCCTACATTCACTTCTACCATAATCTGACATGTCTCCTAATCTGTAGCTCCTTCTCACATTCTGGGAGGAGAAAGTACTGGCCCTACTTCTTAATTTAGATTACAGGTTAAGAATAAAAGTATTAAAATCTGATCCATCTCCAACCATCCTCAGCTCAGGGAAGCTATTTTTAGCAAAGCAGTGGTAAGGAGGAGGGGTCCCTAAACTTACTTGGGCAGCAGGTACTTTGAATCTGGGAGCAGTGCTACAAAGTGCACTGTGTATGTCAGGGAGACGCGGGAGGTTGATCACCTTTACTGGGCTCCACCCCTCTTCCTCAGTCTCCTCCATCCTCCTATCTCTTTCACTGTCCCCTCACCTCTGCTCCTACCTGTTTCCTTTCAGTTCCTTAATCTCTCAAACCCAGTTTCTTTGTCCTGTCTTCTTGTCCTTCGATCTATCTCAGACCCCACTTTTTCCTTTATTTTATGCCGTAGTCTTCTCTTCCTCTCAATTTTTCCTTCTTTTTCTTCAACCGGCTGTAATTATTACTGTATGGTAATTTCCCTCCATGGAGCATTTCTTATAACTGTTGACATAATTAAATTTCATCCTTACTGTTAAGCCCTCTCTTGGTCCTCACTTTTTTTTTGTTGTTAAATTCTTTTATTGGTACATTGTAGGTATACAACACAATTACATTTCTCATTGGGAATTGTACCTTTACATGATGCATCTTGGTTCGTATTTTTTCCCCATTCCTAGCCCTCCCTTCACCCCCTCCACCCTTCCCTATTTACAAAGACTTTATTTCCATTTTTTCCATTTCTCAGCATTTTTCCTTTCCCTTCTTTCCTTTCCCCTGCCCCTGCCCCTCCCACTATCCCTACCCCTTTGGACCTTTTCTTTCTATTTTACATTATCCATTATTCATTCTAATCATTGGTACAATTTAGGTATACAATATAATGACATTCATCATTGGAAATTTGCACCTTTACATAATCTCTCTTGGTTCTTATTTTTCACCCTTGCCCAGCCCTCCCTTCAACCTCTCCATTCCTCCCTATTTACAAAGATTTTGTTCCTATTTTTCCATTTTCTCATATTAATCCCATTCCCTTCTGTCCTTTCCCCTACCCCTCCCATTTCCCCTTCCCCTTTGCCCCTTTTCTTCCTATTTCACATTACCTATTATACATTTAGTCCTTATTTACACTTTCAGTTTCTCACACCAGAGAAACTATTCAGTATTTATTCATGTGTGTCCTATTTATTTCACTTAAGAGTATCGCCTCAATGTGCATCCACTTAGCTATAAATGTCTCTAATTTCTCATTTTTTATGGCTGAGTAGTACTCCATTTTATAAAAAAAACCCCACATTTTCTTTATCCAGTCTCCAGTTGATGGGTATTTGGGCTGTTTCCAAGTTTTAGCTATCACAAACTGTGCTGCTATGAACATGGGCGCACATACCTCCCGGGTTTCCCTGACATGGTCACAGATTTTGTAAGGAAAGGCTTATGTCCTAGGAAGTCTCTTCTTGAGACTTCGTAAGTCTCAGATTTCAGGGATGATGAGTAGGAAAAGTTGGCAGGAAAGTACAAAACTCATAATTTGGCTAGTCTGGCTGTAAGAACTTTTCAGTGTCGAGTGGATAAGGCATAGGTTTTGCTCCTTTTCTAGTCACTATTGCTGTCTTCCCCCCACCCCATGTTGGCAATGGTTATTTGCAGTTTAAAACAATGGATTATCCATTGTCTTCCTCGAGAATATTGTGATTTAAGTGTGGAATTTAAGTGCATTGCAATTACATTAACAATCGACTTTGTGGATTAACTGTTGTGCTTTGCAGCGATTAAAGTGTTCATTTAATTTTTAACATTAAAAAAAAAGTGCACTGTGTAGTAGAGTCCCTTGCTCTTGGATGTATGCCTGAGAACTTGGATTGTTTTTGTAAAACCTCTTTGGGGACTTATAAGGGGACTTAAATGAAGGAAAAGTTATCAAGTTCATCCACAAGGTTCTCTCTTACTTCATAGGAAGTCTGTGGGATCCCAACATCACTGCTTGTAAGAAGAATGAGAGGATGGTCGAAGTGAATTTTACAACCAGCCCCCTTGGAAACAGATACATGGTTCTTATCCAACATGACATTATAATTGGGTTTTCTAAGGTGCCAGAGGTACTTTTCCACTTCATTCTTGTATCTTCAACCTCCAGCTTTATTACTTTGTTGAAGGAAAAAGTGGACACTTTAGGGTTCTCTGAATAGGCTCTGCTGAGAGAACACGGAACCATGTGTCATCCAAATGTACCAGGCTAGTTTGATTAATTCAACAGCTAGAAACAAATTCCTATGGGCACCCTAGGATATATATCATTATGAATCTAAAACCAACGGAAGTTGGTTTCCACTTTAAAGTAGACATTTCAGAAGTATGAAATGAACCTTTATTCACATATAGTCTAGTGAACTGAAAGTCAGCTTGGAAAGAGTGGCTTCTCCATTATCAGTAGTCATTTATATGACTTGTAATTCTTCATTCTATCTCACTCATTTACAGAACAAACTAACAAGAACTTCTGTAGTCATTCTGGTGACGGGGGAAAGTGAAGGTGCTACGGTTCAGGTAAGTTTATCAAAGTGCTTTGGGGAGGGGAGGGACACTGGAAGATTGTTCCACCATTAAATGCTTTTGGTGAGTCCTTTTACAGGTGAATTAGTTCTCTCAAGTTCACTTTTGGTAACAGTCCTGTATGCTGCACTCTTTGTGTTGGTGAGATCACGAAGCTGACCTTGCAGCCATGGTACTTTCTTCTTAGATTAGTGGCAACTGACCTTCCAAAGTGCTTTTCTTTCCACTTTCTGTCACAGACCCTCACAACAATTCTGAGGTAGAAGAACCATTTTATTTCCCCAAGCCCAGTTCTAACTACAAAATGAAGTTGCAAAGATCTGAAGTTGAAAGGTTTGGGTGCCAGAGCAGTGTATGAAATTTGGAGAGCAACTGCCTGTCCTGTCGGCATCAGCTGACTCAGGTGGAAACAGAAGTTGGACCAATAGATGCTCTCAGGTGTCCTGCAACTGTTGAGTTTACAGTGTGGGGACACAGAGGAACCCAGTGGGACTCAGCCGTACCAAAGAGTAAGGAGTTTCTGTTTTTCCTTCCTGGAACATAAAGTGCTCAGACGGGCCAAAGGGAGCAGACCCTGCACATACATTATCAATGCCTCTTCCAGGGAACCACAGACTCCCAGTGCCAGGGACCTGCCTGTCATAAAGCCCCAACTGAAGTCAATAAGAGCCCTACAATTCTGTAGCCATGGAGGAAATATTTGCATACATGTTAGGATATAACCCAGTTCTTCTAGATAAGGAAACCAGCATGTTAGAAACACGCACAAAGCTGGGGTTCACAATCCTGGAGTCTTGGAAGGTATTTCAGTCTTGGATCACTGAGTTGGATCTTTAGGGCTTTGTTCCACAAATGTAACCAAAGGAAAAATGTCCATGAAAGTGCTTCGAGGAGGCTGTGGTGGAAGGAGGAATACTGTTGAGATGTTTTCTGAATCACTGTGAAATTTTTGAGCCTCTCCTTTTTCCTCAGTTGATTCCATATTTCCATTCGTGTGGCAATGACTGCATCCGACGCAAAGGAACTGTGGTGCTTTGCCCACAGACAGGTGTCCCCTTCCCTCCAAATACAAGTAAGTGCTGTCATTACCACAGGATGATCAAAGAGGTTCAGAACATGATAATCTGTCTGTCCCCATTCAGTATGTAACAAGGTGTGTCTAGGGGCAGTGTGAGGGGTTCCTACCTGTGTACACTGAATTAGCATGCACAGAAAGATGCCAGTGCTATCCCAGAGAACTCATAATCGAAGAACAAAACATTTATTTATAAAACCACTCCTGGTCCTTTATGAAAGCAGGATATATATAGACAGGAAAAATTAAACAGTACAGAATAGATGTTGAAAGCACTCCAAGGAGCTGCTGAGAAGTCAGCAGACTGAGTCAGAGGGAGCATGTACTCCACTGCATTCTGATCCTCAGCAGCACAGGCCTAGCTGTTACCGTACATGTGGTCACATGCCAGCATTTGGGTAGCAAATCAGGAATACTGGCACCAAGAGACTCCCCACTAGTGCCTGAGAGTGGCATGCTTTGGAAAATGTCACTAGATTTGGACATGTGTCATTTCTTATAGATGAAGAAATAAAATGTTTCCAGAAGTAGCCTAGGGTTGGGAGTCAAAAGATAGGAGGTATTATTCTTAAGAATCTCAGTAGGGCCAGGGTCTTAGCTCAGTGGTTCCGCCACCTGCCTTGCAAACACAAAGTCCCAAGTTCGATCCCTGGTACCAAAATAAAAAAAAAAAAGAATGTCAGCTAAACAAATTGAAGGCATCTGGGTACCTAACAATCCTAACTGCTGTGTAGACCCAGTGCCTTTACTGAGTCCTGAGCATGCTGGTGTGCCTGAGCCTGCCTGATCCTCAATGTTCCTGTGAAGGAAAGGCACATTTCTCACATCAGTCTAATAAAACTGCTTTCAAAAGGCCATCTATGCATACTGTGCATACAATAAAATGCACTCAGAATGACAGTGATTCCTCAATGAACCGAGAACAAGAAACCAAATGTAAACTCTGGTTCCACAGTGAATGCTTATGTAAGGAGTCAAAGATCAAAGAGATCTTGTGGGGGCCGAGGATTTAGCTCAGTGGTTTCGCTGCCTGCTACGCAAGCGCAAGGACCTGAGTTCGATCCCCGGTACCAAAAAAAAAGAGATCTTAGAGGACAACTCGCTGGGTCTCCTCTATCCTGTGAGAACCAAGTAAGAGACCTAGACACCACAGAAAAACTCACTGATCAGTACACTCCTTAAAGATCTGACCCTTATTCTACAGGGATCTAAGTTCTACAAAATATAGAGTAAAGGTCTTAAATTTTCTTTTTTTTTTGGTACCGGGGAACGAACTCAGGACATTGTGCTTGCAAGGCAGGCAGTGGAAACACTGAGCTAAATCCCTGGCCCCAAAGTCTTAATTTTCAAATAGATAGATACGTAAAAAAAAGAAAACTACAAGGCAGGAGTATTGCTGCAAGTTTGAGGCCAGTCTAGGCTACATAGCAAGATCCTGTCTCAAAAAACAAAAATTTTAAAAAACGAAAAGAAAAGAAAAGAAATAGATAAATGTGGTTTTGTTTTGTTGAAGGTGAATAAGCCTTGTTTTTTTTTTTAGACAGAAGCATGCTGGGAGGCTGGCTAGCTCTCCTTTCACTGCTAGTGGTCTCGTGGATGCTGGCAGTTGGGATCTACCTAATATGGAGACGTGGTAAGGGTTATAATATTTTAAAGATATCCAAATAAGGAAATCACTGTGTGTGTGTGTGCATGCGCACACGCATGTGTGCACACACACGCTGAGGATGGAACCCAGGGCCTCATGCATGTTAGACAAGTGCTTTATCAGAGATACACCTCAAACTCCACATTTTGAGCATTTTATTTATTTATTTTTTGGAACCGGGGATCAAACTTGGATCCCTGCGCTTGCGCAGCAGGCGGCGAAACCAGAGCTAAATCCCTGGCCCCTGAGCATTTTATTTTTATTGTTTTTTTTGGGTTTTTTTGGTACTGGGGATCGAACTTGGGACCTTTCGCTTGCAGGGCAGGCAGTGGAACCACTGAGCTAAATCCCCGGCCCCTGAGCATTTTAAAAGGAAGAGAGGCAATCCCATATTGGCATTTCCCAGGATTAAGACAGCATTTACCTAGTACCTTAACATGCTGCTACAAAGCCTGGTGTGGTAATAACTACATCACATCTGCCAGCTTAAAGCAGGGTGAGGTCTTGCAGATCTGGGAACTACTTACCATCTGTTTTATTTTTACTATGTGGTGCTCTACAAGTATGAAACAGGTAAAAGATGGCTAATCACATTTCACCTGTGATACTCTATTAGTTATTTTTTAAAAGTAGCTCTAAGACATTAGAACAACATTCGCTTAAATTCATACACTCTGAAAGGTCACTGCCAACTCTACAACACTGATCATCTGGATATAGAAATCAGGGTAACTCACTGAGCATGGTGGTGCACTCCTGAGCCGAGCCTGGGCAATGCAGTGAGTTAACGAGACCCTGTCTCAAAAAATAAGAAGGTCTGGGTCTGGGTATGAAGCTCAGGGTGAAGGTCCTGGGTTCAATTCCCATTACCTCCCCCAAAGGAATAACAGACAAAAATCAGGGTATATACGTAGCTAGTGGCAGATCCATTAAAGACTGCCTTTCCTCCAAATAGAAAAGGAAATATAAATGTATCCTGAGTATTGCATATGATGGTGACACAAAAGTAACTCCACCTTATTTCTAAGCCAAGAAACCCATGTGACCCTTTTGCCTTAGGAACAGTTATATTTAGGGGATGCTGTTTGAACTGTATTACAGCAGTTTCAAACATTTCCTGTTTTATAACACAGTATAAGGCAGAATTACAGTTAAGTTCCAGGGGCTTAACTTTATGGAACTATAAAGAATCTCTACCACCTGCAGGTAGCAAATGATGTAAACAAGCACAGACGGCAATACTCACAGGTGAAGCTCAGAGGTCGGATGTCCTTTAGATAGCACTAAAAGTAAACTTACAACTGCCCACCTCCAAGTACCTTCAACCAAGACAGTTTCTATGGCTTTATTTGAAAAGATAAAGCCTGATTGAAAGGACTGATTTAATAACAGGGACTTAGAAAATACATCTTTTAAAACTTTTTTACTTTTCTGGGGGTTTTTTTGGCAGTACTGGGGAATGAACCCAGGATCTCATGTATTTTAGGCAAGTGCTTTACCACTGAGCTACACCCCAGCCCATTAAAACCTTTTTTTAAGTTTAGGCATCGCTGTGTTTCAGGTGCCATATCCAAAAGGACCATCAGGGTAGTGTTCCCTGATGCCCCCTGCCATTCTCTAGTCGGGATTGTTTATCAGTGATCATCTGAATTAGAGGGAAACTATACGCAGGTAACAAATGCTTTTCTCACCCCACAGAAAGGATCAAGGAAGCTTCCTTTCCCACCACCACGCTACTGCCCCTCATTAAGGTTCTTGTGGTTTACCCACCTGAAGTATGTTTCCATCACACAGTTTGTTACTTCACTGAATTTCTTCAAAACCATTGCAGAAGCGAGGTCATCCTTGAACAGTGGCAGAAAAAGAAAATAGCTGAGATGGGTCCAGTGCAGTGGCTTACCACTCAGAAGAAAGCAGCAGATAAAGTGATCTTCCTCCTTTCCAACAATGTCAGTACTGTGTGTGATGGTCCCTGCGGCCAGAGCGGGGGCAGCCCCAGGGGGAACTCTCAAGACCTGTTCCCCCTTGCCTTTCACCTTTTCTGTAGTGATCTCAGCAGCCAGACTCATCTGCACAAATACATAGTGGTCTACTTCAGAGGGGCGGAGCCCAAGGATGATTACAACGCTCTCCACATCTGCCCCAAGTACCGCCTCATGAAGGAAGCCACTGCTCTCTGCACTCAACTCCACGTCAGGCAGCACATGTCACCGGGGAAACAGTCACGAGCCTGCCACAGCAGCTGCTCTGCCTCACAGCCTACCCAGGAGAAGAGGGAGGACTCAGAGCCTTATAACCCAGCAATTCCAGGGGAAAAATCTTGGTGACAGTCCTCAAGTTTACCATATAGGCTGCTTGCAGGGATGATCCTAAGTGAACAGATATGCCTCAGGATACCGATGAAAAATGTTCTCCTGGGCCAGGGATTTAGCTCAGTGGTTCCGCCGCCTGCCTCGCAAGCTCAAGGACCGGAGTTCAATCTCCGGTACCAAAAAAATAAAAAGTTCTTAAGTTGAAAGTTGGCTTTCTTGAAATAATGGTTCTTTTTATAAGTTAGTAATGTACTGGTTTACTTAAAAAACAAACTACCAGAGTGACAGAATGTAGACATGTATGATACTGATACAAGGGAAATACAACTCCTAACCTGCTAGGTATCAGATGTGCTAGGTATCAGATGTCCCCCAAAATTGAAAAGTGAATTGCAAGGAACAACAGATATTAAGAGTAGGAGGGCTGGGCTGGGGATTTAGCTCAGTGGTTTTGCCACCTGCTTTGCAAGTGCAAGGACCTGAGTTTGATCCCCAGTACCAAAAAAAATTTTTTTTCCTTTTTTTTTTTTTTTTTGGTACCAGGGATGGAACTCGGGACCTTGCGCTTTCGAGGCAGGCGGTGGAACCACTGAGCTAAATCCCTAGCCCAAGGAAAGATTTTTTGAAACAGAGTTCCTGAGAGACCAGAGGGCTCCTGAAAGTGGGTTGCTACCAAGACATTCCTCCAAGAATGTTTGATAGGGCAAAATCAAGAAGTGGTTACAATGGGGGTCAAACTATAATCAACCAATAAGATTACAAGTACAGCCACTCAGCTAATATTGATCTAATAGGAAAGCAGGGCACTTCTGCAAGGGGATATGGCTGACATCATTAACCCTGGCGTATCTATGACTTCTAAAATGGGAACATTTTGGGGAAAGGATAGGCCCAGGTGTTCTGCTCACCCATCCAGGTGAGATGCATGTCCAGACTTAATAGACTCGGTGGTACCAATTACAATATAATCTTAAATTTTCATTCATCCTTTGGGAAAATATCTAAGTCTGGCCATTGTGATTTTAATCTCAAGGCTTTGCCTTCCTCAGATGTGCCTCCAGCCATGATTTTGATGTCTCCACCTTTCACTGACTTCTGACTGTATATTTTTAAAACTTAATTTTATTGGTATATTTTTGATATACATAATGATCACACTCATCATAGGGAATCTGTACCTGTACATGATATATCTCGATTGTTTTCCCCATTTCCCTCCCCTCCCTTCAACGCTCTTCCCCTCCATATTTACAAAAGCTTTGTTTCTATTTTTTTCCCTTTTTCCTTCCTTCCCTTCCCCACCCCCCACCCTTGCTCCCCTTCCATTTGAACATTTTCTTTCTCCTTCCCAGTAGCTATAATTCATTTTGGGCTTTATTTACCCTTTTGGTTTCTCACATAAGAAAAGCAATGTGATATTTAAATGTGTGTCTGATTTATTTCTGACTGTATATTTTTATCTAATTTAGCTGTCTATAATAAACCAGCGGTGCCTTGGTTCATGAACTTAATTCTTTCCATGATTCTGATTGCAACCAAACTGCAACCATGAAATCATGGCAACAATTAAGTTCATGACCTGAGGCACCACTATATTTTACGTATTCCAACTCAACTTTCCTTAAAAGCATAATTTTTTTGTTTTGAGGACTTTTGCTTTCTATTTTCAAGTTTTATGGAAAGTTGTTTTTTTTTAGGACTAGTAACAGGGTATTTGAATTTATTTTAACAGACAAATGAAGACATATAAATTGTACATACTCATAGGGCGCCATGTGATATTTCTATGTATACACTGCATAATGTTTGAATTAGGTTACACATCTGTCTTTCCTCAAACATTTATTTCTTTATGGAAAAATACTGAAAATTTGAATTTTAAAAGAACAAGACAGAATGTGCTTTTTAAGAAAATGGCCAATAATCCCTGTTCTGAAATAAAAAGACAAATAGCTGTCAGGTAAAGGTGGCAGGATCAGAAAGTTTTTTTGGGGGGGGATGCGCAGGATGAGGAGGAAGAAAGCAAGCAAATAAGAAACCCCAGGGACACTTAAAAGCATCTTTTTCTTATGCAGAGGACACACCAAAAAATCTATTTGCAAATTATCTTTTCAGGGTTATGTCATTCCAGATGTTTGTCTTATAGATAAAATATCCAAACGAAGAAGCATAAAGGGGAACTCACCACATAAGCAGCATCTTCATAATCAGATGCTTAGTAATGGCTGAGGCGGTATGTCTAATGTAGCAAGGCTCACTTAGTTATCATGGTTTTCACTGTGCTTGTAAAAGTGCTGGTAATAAAGATGGATATGGCTTAGGTCAAAACTTGGGACGAGTCACCAACTTCCGATGAATCAAACATCTACCTTTTCTCCTCCACCCCCTTTTTTGGGCAGTACTCAAAATTGAACCCAGGGCCTTTGCACTGAGCTACATACCCAGACCTTTTAATTTTTATTTTGAGACGGGGTCCCCCTAAGTTGCCCAGGTGAGATTCAGACTTGTGATCCTCCTGCTGCAGCCTCCCAAATCATTTCTATTTGGGTTTAGGAAGGAAACAAGATTTCCCTTTCAGCTGTAGTATTGTTTTGGTCAAGTACCAGTTTTCTTTACCTAAACCCACCCTACAGCAAGTCCAGTTAGCCAGCCAGCCCAGCCTGCAATCTTTGCCTCTGGAAATCTAAACCTGAACGGGTCCCAGTCTCTTTTGTACTCCAGTAGGAAATGGAAAAGCAGAACCCAAAATAACCACAACACTTTTTACCCTGTTTGCAATTCCAAGAGGACATGAGTCACATTATGTGTCCAGAACTCAGACACCTGTAGTGTCCTAGACAAGAGGGAACGTGGCAGGACCAGCCAGCTCTCACAAGTCACACTGGCCCTCATGGCTGCCTGAGGCTGCCTGCCGATGAGGCTTGGAAGTCCACTTGGGCTCCCCTGAGGAAGGACAGGCAAAGTTGATAGGTAAAAAGGAAATAAGGCAATTCTTTTTTTGTCTTTTTTTGGTACTGGGGATCAAACTCCGGTCCTTGCACTTGTGCAGCAGGCGGCAAAACCACTGAGCTAAATCTCTGGCACAATTTTATTTTGGTACTACGGATCGAACTTGGGACCTTGCACTTTCGAGGCAGGTAGTGGCACCACTGAGCTAAATCCCCAGCCCAATAAGGCAATTTTTAATCTCAAAATTGTTCTTTTAATAAAAACTGCAGCTTCAGGACAAACCAGTCAAAAATTCCTGAAGTAAAAAAAAAAAAGAAAAATTCCTGAAGTCCTTAAAGATACATATAAGCCTGGACTATTCCCTTTTACTTGCAAATGGGCTTTTTCTACCTTTGAATAGACCATACTTTTTCATCCGTAAAATGGGCCCTTCCCTTGTAGATGCGCTAGGGCTGTATCACCTGTAACGGCTGTCACCTATGAATGGACCATCACCCTTCCCCTTTCATCTGTAAACAGAATCTCCTCTGTGCATAGATCCTCAAGTCCTAGGATTTCCGCTCCTAAATCCCTCATACACATACACAGTTCAAGGCTATAAGGTTACCTGTGACCCTTAAGAGGGCCCGCCCTCTATTTCTTTGAATATATACTTTTAAAATTCTGCCTAATCCTGTTGTGAAGGAGTTCCATATGTGAGTGGATTGCAGACCTCCTCTAAACCATACCCCCTACTTATCAACAGAAACCTCTGCCTTTACCTCCAGCCAAAAAAAAAAAAAAAAAATCATCTGCATAATCTCTTTATGCATCTTACCGATCCATTCTCAAAATTCAAAAAGGTTTTGGGCTGGGGATTTAGCTCAGTGGTTCTGCTGGCCACCGCGCAATCGCAAGGGCCCGAGTTCGATCCCTGGTACAAAAAAAAAAAGAATGATTTTCATTCTCAAAATTCTTCTGGAATGGAAGTCAGCAAACCTACAGCGTGCCCTGTGGGTGGGGTGAGTCAAGGGTCCCCATCACTAGATGGGGACCTCCTTGGACTCTATCCAGTGATATTCACCACATGAGGGGATTCAACAGCAACATTTGACATCACTAGAGAGTTTATGAAACCCTCAGAAAGGGGCAGAAGAGTTTACAACTGAACAGTAAGTTCATATTTATTCTCAAATGTCCCAACTATGAAAACAGATAATTTCAAACCAATGTTATATCCTGAACATAAAGTGGAAATTATTTTATTTTCCATGAAAATTAAGCATGCAATTCAATAAATTAAAATATATACATTCCTTAAGTCTTTTATACCAAGAGACTTGTTTTTGGTCTTCAACAGTGACTTTTCCTCCCCACTTCACCACACAAAAGCAGCTCGTTCTCGTAACATGCGGACACCAAAGCGCTGCCATTCTCGCTGATAAATCCACAGTTCCTGTGTGGTATCCAAACATGCCAACACCGCCCCTCCTTTCCACGCAATCAGCCGGGGATCCATGTCCTAGACAAATGAAAGAGTTACGTTAGCGCAAGCAGGTAAAACTATTTCAGCATTTACTTCAGTTGGGAGGAACACTTGCTGAGTCAATAATAAACTAGATTTTCCACTGGCATTAAAGATGGCAGGGCTCACAAACACGACACCGCTTTCAACCAACACAAGCTTAATTTTTATTACTGAATATGCCACTCTTTACTATTACTCCACAAATAGGTGCTATAGGCAGGAACATATATAACAAAATAACCTTGATATGTGACTGGAATATATCCCCACTGGCTGGGCACAGTGGTGCGTGTTTGTAATTCCAGCACTTAGGAGACTGGGGCAGGAGGATCTCAAGTTTGAGTTCCACCTGGGCAACTTAGGAAGACCCTACCTCAAAATACAAAATACAAACTGGGGAGGTAGCTCAGTGTGAAGGCCCTGGGTTCAATCCCGAGTACCTAAATAAATGAATGAATGGCCACAATAGTAAATATCCACATATGTTAAAATAAGAACACTGCCAAGAATTGTAGTGAGATTTAATGAATACACACATGATCTATTTCTAAGTTTTTGGGTTTATGTTTCAAGATAGTTCAAGGCAAAAAAGATCCTTAAAGATCTCAGGTCCAGGGACCAACAGTAGCTCCTTACTACGAGTGAGATAAAAATGGAGCTATTCTGGCTGTTGGGGTATGTCAGCAGTCTTCTGAACAGACCCGGTCCTTCCACAGAAGTGGAGGCCAGGCACAGCAGGGGCCAGGACCAGGAA